CCCCCCCCCCCCCGCAAGTAAGCACTTCCTGTCGGAGGCGAAAGCCGCAGCAGGGGTTTTCCCTCCTCAAGTCCCGGCGGCTCCTCTTCTTCCCCCACCTCCTAGAAGGGCTGACCCCCTGGCCTCTTCCTGGCGTGACTGCCTGTGGACTGTGTCCCACCGCTGCTGCAACTCCTGTCCTGTGAGCCCTGACTGCGACATTGGTGCCTTTGTGCAGCTGACTTTCTAGTTCTGCAGCAAGTCTGGGGGGGGCCAGTTCTACCCGAGTCACAGGGCTCTGGACGCACGTCTTAAATGAAACCTGCCGGGTTCACAGGGGTCGTTGTGGTTCTCCCCTCAAAGCTGGGTGCCTCGGCTTGGCGTGCAGAGTTGACTCTGGTCACAGGTAGCCTGGAGCCCCTGCAGGTTTGGGTCGGGGACAGCCCTGGCACTTCGGTTCACAGGGATTCCAGTGCCTCTGTGGCCTGGCTCCTGGAGGTTTTGGTGGCTTCCTAAACCTGGTCTAACCCTTTGTCATTTGCTCAGGAAACCTGGTTTGTTCTTTCAGTCTTTGTGACTTTATCATTGCTTTTAAGTTTAAAGCCCTGCCTAGTCAAAGTGGGGTTGATATTATCTGTAAGTTTTCATTTTTGAAAAGGTTTAAAAATTGTTTTTAATGTTTTTATTTTTGAGACAAAGAGAGGGAGCACAAGTGTGGGAGGGGCAGAGAGAGAGGGAGACACAGCATCAGAAGCAGGCTCCAGGCTCCGAGCTGTCAGCACAGAGTGAACTCGAGAACCATGAGATCGTGACCTGAGCTGAAGTCGGACTCTTAACTGACTGAGCGCCCTTCATTTTTGAAAAAGTTTAGATAATCCTATGGAAAAATTTTATACTTCCATGAAGTGAAATTTTTAATTTATTTTCTGCAATCAGCACCCCCCCCACCTCAAAAAAGCCAACCAAATCATCATATCTTTCACACTGACTAGTTCCACTCTCCCCACCCCCACCTCCAAAGCAAAGCGTGTCTTGTCTTGTTGCACTCTCCCGGGTATGTGTTCAAAGTGACTTGGTAAAATCTGACATTCTGGCCAAACGTGTTGAGAAAAGACAGGTGACCCTCCTCACCACACAGGGTACTTAGTGCCATCTGCCACCGCCGATTTAGATAGACACAGACTGGCCACGGACGCATGGTTGGTGGCAGGGGAGACTGGGGGTCTTGTGACCACGGCCCCAAGCCCTTACTGCCGACTGGGTTCAGGTTCCTTGTGAGCAGCCAGAGGAACTGCTTTCCGGAAGGATGTGTGGGGCTCCCTTTCTGGAAGTGACCACGTGCCCCAGTGGAAGGGTGAGGGGCTGCATCAGAACCGCTGTTCCATTCCAGAATCCTCTTTCTCCAGTATTCCCATCCTGGCCACCCTCCCACATTTGAGCTGGGAGGGGAGGAGGGGCTGCCCCCTCATCCACATTTGTGCAAGTTCTGCAAGGGACAGCAGAGCAGTGAAAGTGAAGGAGGAGGGCCCAGACTTTTCCTCTCGTCCCTGTGGCCACAGAGCTTGGGGCACTTCCGAGCTAGGGGAGCAGGTCCCACGTGAGTGGCACTTTTATCGTAAAGGATTCAGTGCCTTCTGTCCTTCCTCAGGGGTGAGGAAGGAGGCCGACAGCGGGCGGGCGCCCCGGGTCCGCACGGCCTTCACGGCGGAGCAGGTCAGCACCCTGGAGAGCGCCTTCCAGCACCAACGCTACCTGGGCCCCCTGGAGCGCCGGAAGCTGGCCCGGGAGATGCGGCTCTCGGAAGTGCAGGTGAGGGGGGTTCACCCAAGTGCAGGTGAGGGGCCCGGGACGCATGGGCCAGGGCGGTGGCTGTTCTCGCCCTTGTTTTGATCTAGTTTCCCCCACAGATAAAAACCTGGTTTCAGAACCGCCGCATGAAGCACAAGCATCAGCTCCAGGACTCTCAGCTGAGCTGCCCTTTCTCCAGAACGCTCTATACGCCAGTGGCTTTCTGCCCGCCACTCTCTGCCCTGGCCAGTAGCTTACCGCCACTGTACCCTTGGGCTTTTCCGCTTGGGCCTCCAGCTCTGGGACGGCCCCCTGGCTCCTTCTGGGACCTCTGCCAAGTGGAACAAGCCTCCCTGGCCTTGACGTGGGCCTCGTGCAGCAGACAGCCTCCAGTGTGCTGCCTCCCAGACCCTGGGGGCCTGGTGCACACACTGGGCCCAGCTTTGTCCAGGGGTCCGTGGGGCCTGTGTGCCTTGCCCCAGACCAAGGATGCCTTCTGAGGAAGCACGGTGGCCCAGAGGCCTGCAGCTGGAACGTGTCACACACTGCCACCGCCACAGACACAGTAGGTGTGTGCGGAACTGTGCCCGGTATCTCCCTGGAGAGACGCTCACCAGTGATTGCTGTCACCGTGACATCTGGCGTGAGCCTTGTGTCTCCACAGGCGGGACCTGGAACCCTGACCTTCCTTAGGACCTCTCACAGCCACTCCCTCGTTGAAAACTACTGCAGGTTCAGTTTAGGAACCACACACGATGGGTCGGCCAACAGAACCCAGCGCCAAAAGTGGACTCGCCAAGTGTCAGGCTTGTAGCATATGATACAGCGGTAATTTATTCAATGGAAAGTGTTGGGAAAATAAAGATGGGCACCCGGCTGCCTCAGTCGGTGGGGCCTGTGACTCTTGGTCTTGGGGTTGTGAGTTCGAGCCCCACGTTGGGTGTGGAGAGTACTTAAAAATAAAATCTCAGAAGTCAGGATGGATACTTTCTTGTGCTGTGTGATCATGAGCTTTGGGTGTAACCATGGAAACCACGGAGGGATTCGGGCCAAGTGAAGACGTTTGTTTTTATCACCTTGGGGTTTGGGTTCCGTGTTAACAGTGACCCCAAAGTGGGAAGCCAGAAGGGAACAGGCATGGTGGCTCTGCCCACTGCCGCGTGGAAGGTCCCTCCGTGGCCACGTCTCGCGGGGCACCGAGCTGTGTGCTGCTCTGCTCTTCACGGCGTGTCCAGACCTGTGTCTCATCTGGCTCGGGGCTCAGCCCTGTGCGGTCCCTGTGGCCAGGCCGGGCTGCAATCTGGCCTCCTGGGCGCCTGCAAGGAAGGAGGCTGAAGCCCGAGGGCCCGGCTTGCTGTCTAGGCGGGTTCTCGGCCCAGAGTTTCTCCACCCAATCTCAGCAGCGGAAGCCCAGGCACCAGGACCAACTCTGGCAGGGGCGGCAAAGCCACGGGCCAGTTATAGGCGCCGGTGGACCGAACCATCCCGTAGGGACTCTGTGTCCCTCCTAGGGGTTGCTGTGCAGCAGTGGGACATCTGCCATCCTGTCATGCTGTCCACCCAGGATTTCTTGTGGTCAGGACTTAAACACACTGTTCAGGCTCGTGTTTTCATTTGTCTTAACCTCTGGTTCAAACCCACCTGCTGCTTTCGACACCCCTAAAACTTGAGTGTCTTCTTACCTTGTTACTTCCAAATTGCCCGCTGTTCCAGGGGAAACTGAGTCACGGTGTGTTTTCTATGGTTTGTGTCCTTTGTGTTCTGTGTCCTGTGTGTCCTATGTCCTGTGACCCCTGTGCTCTGTGTCCTGTGACCTGTGTGTTCTGTGTCCTGTGTGACTTCTGTGTCCTGTGACCTGTGTATCCTGTGTCCTGTGTGTTCTGTGTCCTCTGTCCCGTGTTCAGTGTCCTGTGTGACCTGTGTGTTCGGTGTCCTGTGTGCTCTGTGTTCTGTGTGACCAGGTGGGTCTGCTGTCTCCTCTATGCCCAGGATCCACTCGCCCAGCTTGGGGCATCACATGTTTGAAACATCGGCTCTCTTCTGAGCAGTGGACACCCCTTTGCCTGGTCTTGCCTGTAACCCGAATGGCTTTCGTGACTAGTAGTCCCCATGGGCTCGGGGATGTGGACAGAAGGACACATGCTTCCTAAGCCCTCCCCCACAGAGGCGTGGCCTCTCAGAAGGGCAGGGGCTCCACCCCCTGTGGCTCAGACACTCTAGTACCTATGAAATAGTCTTGTCAAAAACCAAAATTCCTGTTGATAGAAAACGGACATCAGCCGGGGCTTCTCCGAAGTCCCTTGTCAGAGGGGCAGGGAGACCCGGCCGTCCAGGTGAACCCTGGTTAGAGCCGCATGAACACAGCTGTGAGGCAGGGAGGCCTCCGGTCTGCCAGGACTGGCTGGGGTGGCCCACCCGTCTCTGCTGACATGACCAGGTGAGGGACAGTGATGATCTGTGGGTCCCGTGTCTGCAACTCTCACTCACGGGGTTCAAGGGCAACACGACAGAGCACAGACGCAACATCTTGGCTGTGGAGCCGGGTGGTAGGTCCGTGGACATGGGGCTTCTGTCCCTGAGAACTTCTCCGTCTAAAACCACAGCAAGTGGCTGGATTGGGGGCACACCCAGACCAGAGGCGGTGGGCTCCAGGGGTGGGGGCTCAGTCGGGCCACCCCCACAACCCTGAAGGCAGAGCGGAAGTCATGGGCTTGCTGTACCAGTGCAGCCCCCGCACTCCCACAGGGGTGAAAACATGCAGCTCTCTGACTGTCCAACACATCCCATCTCACGGCGCCCGGGGCAAGAGGAGGGGCTGTCCCCAGGAGTCCCTCATCGCCCAGCAGTGCCCTCAGGTCCAGCTCTGCAGAAATCTGCAAGCGGCAAGGGAACAGGTGAACAGAAACTCCTTCTCCAAGGAAGGCACTGGGAGGGGTCCCCGGAACCCCGCCCCACTGCCCGGGGGGAAAAGGTCCCCAGGACTGAGGACCTGTTGGTGGGCACTTCTGAGGGTCTCTCCAGCCTCAGTCCTGGCCCCGGGACTGCCTCAGGGGGCTCCTCAGCCGGCTGGACCTGCATGGCTCTGCCCCACCTCCCAGTGGACCGTCCTCCCTGCGCAAGGAGCAGCCCACTCAGTTCCATGCTGTCGACAGGGGCCCCCACCCCAGGGCTGGGGTGAAGCGTGTGACCCCCCAGTCAGCCAAAGACCCCACCTCTAGCTGCGACGATGCTGAGGGACCCCCTTCCCTGTGCCCAGAAGCTGAGCCCTGTCTGCTGTTTCCACACAGAGTGGAACCAGGAGCCAGCCCCCAGTGCCCCACCCCCACCTACAGGGACAAGCACCGTTGGGGGGGGGGG